GTCCAGGTTCACGTGATAAATGCACATCTTGACTGTAGCAGAGTTGGTTCTCTCACTCTCTCCCTCGCCACACCTTTCTCTCACTTGTCACTCTCAAGTGCTCCTCATGTGATGTTGCCATGGCTTCTACTGGTGCTGACAGCTGTTGATCGCGAGTGCAAAGTTGCTGGTGCCAAGTGAGAAAATAAATCCAGACAATTTGTTGATTCCCTTGTTCATTGGAATAAATTCCCATGGCCAGCACTAGTGAGATAGCAGTTAGTTATCACATACCATTTACTGCCAGATATGTTGTAATAAGAGGTGACAAATTTCATTATCGCTATATAATGGGGAAGAACACATCAGTCCTGTGTTGGCCCTGGGAGGCTAAGATAAGTGTGCTGTATGCTTCAGGTTTGATGTACAGGTTTATTGCCTCTGAAACGGGAGGTCAAAGGTAAGTTATTATTATACAATTCTGGCAACAAGCAGAGCAAGAGATGACAAGCAGTGAAGATAATTATCCTTTTGCAACTCCTTCCAATGATCATGAGACTACAATGAGGTTTTGAAAAAGATAGACTGCACCCATCTCACGCCATACGTGTTTGTAAACCAAATTCCTGTCATTTCTTGTCTCCTCTAAACAGAGGATGGTGGGGAGGTGCAATTCTCTGCCACAATCCATGGTTGAAGTAGTCATTAAATAAAGGGATTCGACGGTTTCTTGAAAAGGACGAAGGATTATAGGGGGAGATAGCAGCAGAGGGAGATTAGATTGGTTCATTGGGAGAAAAACACCAGCACAGACTTTATGGGCCGAATAGAAGATTCTACAAGCACTGTTATTTTAGTCCTAGTTGACATATACGTTCTGACCTTGAATATACCTTTTAAATATTTTTCACCTCAAAGAGGACAAGGTATGCTTGCGTTAAAAAAGCAAATATCTTTCCCTTTAAGTAGCCTTGCCAAGCTAAAAGGTGTCAGCCCGGTTCAGCACTCTCACCGCTGAGTTAGAAGGTTGCTGATTCAAGCCTCTAGTCAGAACTTTGAACTGAGTCTCGGCTGGCAATGCAGTGCTGGGGGAACGCTCTATTGTCAGAGATGCCATCCTTCAGATGAAATGTTAAACTGAGGACCCGTCTGCCTGTTCAGTTACTAATAATAATAATATTTCTTGCATTTACCACGTCTTTTGAGACATCTCAAGGTGCTACACAGAATATATTGTAAAGTGAATTGACTGTTTTGCGAGTGAAACGCGGCAGCCAATTGCGCACAGCAGTGAGCCACAAATAGTCTTGGATTGAGTAACCAAATTATTTTTAGATGAATATTAAAGATCTCATGGTGCTAATTTAAAAAAAGAAGAGTTTCTCTCCCGGTGCTGTGGCAACAATCTCCAGGTAAAATTGATCATTCATTTCATGGCTGCTCTGTCCAAATTGGCCTAGAAATGCACTTCATAGTAAAATCCTGGGACATTTTGATGGCGTGATAAGGCGTGGTTCCAAATGTAAGAACCATTACATATCCTGATTCAATTTATTGACAGATGGGCCAAGGTCTTCTCTGACTCACTAATGGATCCAAATGGAATTTGGCTTGTGCCTGCAGTTTTGTTCATCCCAAACCACCCAGACATTGGCTTCACTGGGCAATTACAGGAGAGAGAACAAACCCAGGCAGTGTACACAAACCTGTTTCAGAGACAAACTCATAAAACTCCAGGACTTTCAAGGCTGAAGTGGATTTTATTGGGTTCATATATATATTAAACAGTGTTGATGAGGAACAAACAGATACTTGCACAGAATATGACCATTATATTTGAGTACAATTAAATTCTGTATTGGACACTTGAATTTATTTGAAAGGTACTTCTCAATTTATAGTTGTTGCTTGCATTTCACTAGTCCTGCATTTTACCACAGTATTTTGTTTGTAACCAGGAGGGGCCCAGCGATTCATTAACTTAATGGAACATGGCTTATCGCTGTAAGAATGGGAACTTGTTCACTGAAATTCACATTGCCACCCAATAGCAGCTAAAACACTTCCCTGTAACTCCAAATCTGAAGCATGCAGAATGCTGACCCCAATTTTAGCTCAAAGGGTTGAGTGCTTCAAACTGCTTGTAAAGGGATAAATCACTCAAGGCTAGCTGTCTCGCTGCTCCTAGAAGGGTTTCTAGAGGGAGTACTGATAGGAAATAAGACTTTCAGCAAATCAGATAAGCACCGGCTTGGCTCACCCATTAAAATGAACAGTGATGTTCAGTCAGCTAACATTAATTCATGACTTGACATTTCTCTAAATAGCCATTAGCTGAAAACAATAGTGGACACAGCAGCAAGTGTTCAGTTACACTTTTCCAAACTTGGTATTAGATTTACGAGAGTTCACCTTTGCTTGACCCACATCGCAACTCACTGCTTCAAATGCTCTGGGATGCCTCCCTGCTTGAGGGGCACTATATCAATACAAGTTGTTATTGTTGTATATAGTGTGTGTGTGTTGGTGGGGGGGAGGAATGGGGGTGATGGTAACTCATTGACTGTTCTGATTTTACTGATCAAAAGGGAAGGGGGAAGCAACAGATATTACTGGTGTCAGTGAATATTCCACTCGCATACACTGTTCTATCAAAGAGAGGAATGGAACTAGATCACTTGATTAGATTTGGATGTAGAAGTCCCTTTGACTCATTTGTTCTCATCTTTTCAGACGCCCACCCTGCCAGTGTCCCATTGCAGTATAACAGGCAGACCAGGACCTTCATTCAACATCTCATCCAAAGGCCAGCATCTCCAACAATGAAGCGCTCCCCCAGCATTGCATTGGAGAGTGTCAGTCAACTGTGAGTTCAGGGTCCTGATGTGTGGCTTGAAAGCACAACCAGCTGACTCAGAGATGAGAATAATGTCAACTGAGCTAGGCTGACAACTAAGGCTGGTTTAACAAAAATATAACACTTATATTTTGATACAGGAGCAGAATACTTCAAAGTCTTCACACAATGAGTCACACAGAACAATGAGATAATGTAATCCATTGAATTTCAGTAAGGAAGGAATATCAGACAGGACACCCGGATAACTCCAGTGGCAGGGGATCTTTTAACATTCACCTGAATCACCAGCGCTTGGCAGATGGTTTCATGTCTCAGCAGATGGATGTTAATAATTAGACATAATTCATACTACTTACTGCTGGTTGAATCAGCAGACAAAGTATGCTTACTCTGAAGATTTTTTTTAAACAAACAAATTTCATAATGTAAGTAATTGCTTGTGTGCTCTCTAGGTTAATGGATGTGCTCAGGCCAGACTGCTAAGATGAAGGTCTTGCTTGGCTAGCTATGATGAAATGGGTTTGGGCTCCCAATTATCTGCATGGATCCACAGCACAAAAGCACTCTCTCTTAAATGTGTGTGTTTGTATCAGCCTGGTTCAGTGGTAGCATTCTCGTCCCTGTATCAGACGGTGTGGGTTCAAGCCCCAACTCAGACTTGGAATCACATTGTCTAAGTAAGATAACATCCAATGCAGCCCTGTGGGTGTGATGCATTGTCAGAAGTGCCGTCGGATGAAACATTAAACCGGAGATCCCATTTGCCTGTTTGGGTGAATGTCTAAAATCCCACTTGGTCTCTGCCTGTAAGACCATTTTGTTGTTTCACCCACAAAATATACAGTCAATTCACTTTACAGTATATTCTGTGAAGCGCCTTGAGACGTCTCGAAGACATGATAAAGCGCTATATCAATTGCAAGGATTATTATGTCAAAGATTCTATGGCACTTCAAAAAGACAAGGGAGTTTCTCCCAGTGTTCTGGTCAACAATCCCCCAAATAAAAAAAATTGGTCACTCACTCCATGGCTGTTTGCAGTACATTGTTGTGTGCAACTGGCTGCCGCATTTCGCCTACAAAATACACATTCATTCCACTTTACAGTATATCCTGTGAAGCGCTTTGAGACATCTCAATGACATGATAAGGCGCTATATCATATGCAAGGATGATTATTAATATTATTATTACATAGCCTCACTATTATTCTGAAATCCCACCTGATCGCTGCCCGTAAGACCATTTTGCCTTGAAATTTCGGATTGAGCAGCACTGTGAAAAATTCTTAAATTTTAGTTTTAATTTGAAACATATTTGTTTTAAGAACTTGAGAAAAACGTTTTTCCAAATCAAGACTGAAAGTTAGAGTTTTTCACAACCCTGCACAATCTTAACCTTTAAGCCCAAATGGTATAATTATTTACCTGGAATTTCATGAGTTATAGGTCTGTCGAGGACTAATCGCTACCGTGAGCGATCTTTTCATCAGTCATGCGACTGCCAGGATAGTGGAAAGCGAACAGGATGGACCTTGGTCTTCTTTCATCAAGCAATTCTTATGTTCCTGTGTTTCTATATGAGTGGAAACCCCTTTCTAAAGATGCAAAAAGGTCACTGGGGTCAATCATGTGGGTGTCTATCATTTTGGCTATCTAAACTGATACATGAAGAATCCCCAGAGAGCCGTGAGTCACTGAGATACCAAATCCCATCATTATGGCTTTTGAGGAGAGCAGGCACAAGGTAGGTGAGGAAATTGGAGGGGAACAAAAAAGCAAAAAGTCAAACAATGAAATTAAATTGGATCGAAATTTGCCTAAGAATGGAACAACCTATTCATGACGATGAGATATAAGTACCAAACTCCCATTTTTAACTTTTGCTTTAACTGTGCAAATAAAATGATAAATTAGAACCAGGAACTCAACATTAGAGAGAGGAATGTAGCATTGTGGTGTGTTAATAGCCTGTCTATGACTACTGTTAGCAACTGCGGCACAGCCACCAGTAAGATGGAATGTAACCTCAAAGATAACATGCAAGCACTGGGTAATAATAATAATCCTTACATTTTGTGTAGCACCTTTCACCTTGAGGACGTCCCAAAGCACCTCACAGGATATACCTTGAAGTGCAGTGACTGTATATTTTGTGGGTGATAACAGAGTTTCATCTTAGACGTAATATAGGCAAGCGCTTGAGAAAATACTCAGAGAATTAACATGCACGGGGATGAAATCATCACGTGATAACAAATAAGGAGTGTTCACTGTTTACTGAGTTAAGTCATCAGTCTCAGAAAAGTTGATTCATAAAGAGCTTATGGTTATCTCAGGGGTTAACTCCGCCAGGAATTATGGTATTGTCCAGGAGTGACTGCGGCCTCTCAGGGATGATGTGGACTTGGTGGCACGTCTGTTCGCCAACAATATTCACATGCCCGCGTTTCCCACATTGGCTGGGAGTAGTGTTGAAACAGCACAGTTGGTTATATTTGCCTCCTCCTGAACCTGCTTGTTATGTTTTCCCGCCGACGTCCTCCGCGAACTGTTACTCCTGCAGGACAGAGGAAAAAAAAACGAAGGTTAAGGAGAAATTCTGCCAAACGACGGGCTGTGGGTACCTTTACCCCGCTTCTGCTTAATTGCCAAAGATCCCTGTGAATCGAGCAATGTTCCGTTCTGTTTGTTCACTGCTTAGAGGGAAGCTGTTGTTACCTAAGACAATAGTAATAATCAGTACCCTGTGCATCAGCCTGGCTCGGTAGTAGCACTCTCCCCTCTAACACAGGAGGTTGTGGGATCGAGGTCTCGAAATGGGACTTGAAGGAGGCAAGGGAGGGGGCGAGGTGGAGGGGTTCTGTCCAGGATGGAGTTCCAGAGGGTGGGCGCAGAAAGGCTGAAGGTACGGCCACCGATGAGTAGAGCAGGCCGGTGACCGCTGTGTGAGGAGGGAGTGAGCAGGTTGGTAAAGTTCTAGTAGGTTGCAGAGGTAGGAAGGAGCAAGAGCGCGAAGGGCTTCAAAAGTGAACTAAGGAGTAAACTATTTGAAGTATGTCATGCCCCTTTCGGAAAACAGGGGAGATCATTGTGGTTACACAGTGCAGCAATGATCGAACCATGAGCTGAAGTGGAGCCATGTCATGTGGCTTCAGTTCCAGAAACCTAAGAAGACTCCTTGTTGTACAATTATCTCAAATTTTCTGTAAAATCTGAAAAAAATGTTGTCCCACTCTTGCAATAACACTCCTGATCTGCCGTGCTATTGCCTTTTAAATCGTAAGAAAAGCTATATCAGTACAAATGTGAAGTTCAACAAGTTGAAGACGACAGACATATGACTGTTTGTGGGACATTGCTGTGCGCAATTGGCTGCCGCGTTCGCCCACAAATATACAGTCAATTCACTTTACAGTGTGTTCTGTGAAGCGCTTTGGGACGTCCTCCCGACGTGAAAAGCGCTATATCAAATGCAAGGATTATTATTATTATTATATGGTAGGATGGGGGGGGGGCGGAGGGAATATTCTGCTCTGTGCACTCAATGCAGTACACTCCTCAATGTGGACGCCGCTCTCCATTTCAGCAAGCTTTGCGAATCTGTTTCTTTGCGCCTTTAAATAACTTAATTATTTTGTAGGTTAACATGGTAGCCAGTTTACACAGCGATGTCCCATAAACAGCCATGGAGTGAGGGAACAATTTTAATCGGGGGATTGTTAGCCAGGACACCAGGAGAAACTCCCCCTTTTCAAATAATGCCATGGGATCTTCAGCATCAATCTTGAACAGGCACGAAACAGGACCTTGGGTTAAAAACAGCAACTTTCATTTACGTAGTTTCTCGGAACCCTTAAAGTCTCATCCAAAAGATAAGATTTGAACAGGCAGAGGTCTCGGAAGGGCAAGGTTAGTGCAGGCACCAGAAAGCAATGCTTTATACAGAAGTAAATCAATAGTAAAAGAGATTACCAGAAATTATTATCCTTGCGTTTAATATAGTGCCTTATCATGTCTTCGAGACATCTCAAAGCACTTCACAGAATATTCTGTAAAGTGAATTGACTATATTGTTGTGGGTGAGTCGCAGTTTGTGGGACACTGCTTCATGCAGCAGTGTCCCACAAACAGTTGTGGATTGAGTGAAATTATTATTGTATGATTTTTTTTTGAAGCAATTGTTACACCCAGGAAAGCGATCCGCCAATCAACTAACAACCAAGTTCTTACTTACTGCTAGATAAATAAAGGTGTGTGGACTAAGGAAACTTCCCCAACACTTCACCCCACCTGGGAATCAAACCCAGGTCCTCTTGTTGGCGAGGCAAGTGCTCAAACCACTAAGCTACAGAACTCCACTTCCATGGTTGAGGCCAGAGAAGTGCACTGACTGATTTAAGCTGCAATGGGAGGATGATAGTGTTGCTGTTCTGGAAGATTAAGATCAAATGGACCAAAGGACCTTTTTTTCATACAAACCTCCTTTGTGATCTTCTGGCTGTGTCTGACTTCTTAATGTTTTACAAGTCATTGAAAACATTTGACATGCATCAAAAGAAATCCAGTTGCCTGTTCCTTCCACAAGAAACGTTAATTAAATTAGCCATGCATGCAATTGAAATGAAATGAGCAGGAAAAAATTGTGCTTTTAAATTTTCTTGCATCTGACTGTATTTTCTCCTGCATTAGGCAATAGAAAAGGGGTTGTGTTATGCAAGGATTGGATTATATAGATGGAATGGTGTTTTTCTTGTGATCGTCTCATGTGATCTTCTGATATGGCCTCACTCACTCTCTGTAAGGAGTGATCTCTCCAAGGTTAGAATCACCTATCTTGAGTGAAATCAAATGCCATCATTAAAAATATTCAGTCATGAATGTTGTTCAAATGGCCGTTGTAGAGGTGGGCTTAGCTAATTATTTCAAGTAAAGCTTAAGACAAGGTTCTTTTTTGCGCATAGACCATATTTTTTCTTCCAATAAGCTAAAGTGGAAGAGCAATACTGTAATAGTTTTACTAGTCAATAACTTTTCAGAAAAAAAGGCACACTCTCTGATCGATCTGCCAAAGTGTCTGGGTAGGCCAGGAATTTGAGCCTAAGCAATTCTGAGCATGAAATGTTGCATTGATATTTGTGTTGGCCTATCCATACCCTTGCATTGTTTTATCCTACCCCTACCCTCCCTGCCTTCCACCCCTCCTGATCCCTACCACCAGCTCGGGTCCAAATCCCTGACTGTCCAGTGCCTTGGGATGTCCTCCCAATGTGAAAGGCGTTATACAAATGTAATTTGTTGTAATTGTTAGCGAGCAACAGGCATTAAATGAAAGGATATTGATGAAGCAAATTGATGAAACTAAATTCCGAATTGGCAACTGCGCAGCTAAGGTAGATGCCCTGAGATACTTCCATTGGCCTCTGTGCCACGTCCCTTCATTTGGGAAAAAGAATTCTATCAAAAAGCTACTCACTATTAATTAAATCGCTTTATAGGTGCAGATATTGGTCTGTCAGGGAAATGCAATGTACCTTTTATTCCCTCACTTGTGGAACAGAGTCACAAATGTTTCTCTCTATTGAAAAAGAACACACTCTTTCCTAACCTGACTTGTGATGAGCAATTTGTAGGTTATTTTATTTGGCTGCATCAATGTATCCAGATGTCTGATATAATCTATGCGCTGCCTTCCACCCACCCACCCCAACCCCCCATCCTCCCCAAGGAAACAAGGCTCAACATTGTCCAGATTTAAGGACTGTGCCCTGTAACTGTTAAATCTCCCAGTCACTGCTGCCTTTCACCAGTACAACTCTGACATCCAATTAACAAACAGAAAACAACGCAATAATGCACATGCCAAAATGCTTGAAGGGCTAACTTTAATCCAAATTTTACTTGCAACATTACTATTCTCCTTACTTGGGAACGTAATAAATATCAGATTGTGAATTAAGTTGCTCCGAGACACCATATGGCCTGACGAGCGCTATATAAATGCAAGTTGTTGTTGAAATGCCCATGTGATACAGTTGCCAATTGATAAAAAGGTCTGCCAATCATGTTTTTAATTGATAAGGAAAGGTGAGCTTAGTCACTCAGCAGCCCCTGGCTTGTGGCTACAAGGCCATTGAGCATGTCTTGCCACTCAAAACACCCACCCGCTCTTTTCTGTCATCCAAAGAATTGCTCCATTCAGACTCCAAAAGCCCTGATATTTCACCTGGTCTTAGCTTGTAGATCCATTTTGTCTCTAGGGGATAATAAAAATAATCCTTGTATTTGATACAGCGTTCTCATCACATCTTCGAGCTGTCTCAAAGCACTTCACAGAATGTACTGTAAAGTGAATTGACTGTATATTTTTGTGGGCGAAATGCAGCAGCCAATTGTGCACAGCAGTGTCCCACCAACAGTCGAGGATTGAAGTGACCAATTTATTTTTTTGTTAAGAAGAAAGGTGATGCAAAATTGTGAAACAAAATCTTAAATTCATTCTTAATCTGGAAGTGGGAAAGCCATCTTCCAAACTGAGATTAAATTTGAAGAAGGTTTCCATACATTTGAGTGATCCGAAATATTAAGGTCAAAGTGGCCTCCCTGGCTAAGACTAAGTAGAGTATCAGACCTCAAACGTTCAAAGACGATTGAGCAAAACTCCACATATTTCTTCCTTTATGGAAGAATATTATGGGTGTTATTGTGAGTATGTTATGGACATTATTGGGAATATTTTTCAAATTAGGCTTCAGTTTGAATCAATGGGTAAAACTCTCTGCCACGGGTCAGAAGGTTATGGGTTGAAGACCCACAGCGGGACTTTCAACTCATGTAGTCTAAGATGACACTCCTATGCAGTACTAGGGGTGCACTGCATTGTTGGAGATGCTGCACTTTGGATAAGATGATGAACTGAGGTCCCGTCTGCCTGTTCACATGGACATTAAAGATCCCATGGTGCTGTTTGAAGAGAGAGACTCCTTGTGCCCTGGTCAACAATCTGCCAAATAAAATTGGGCATTCACTTCATGGCTGTTTGTGGGACATTGCTGCGTGCAAATGGACCACTGCGTCCACCAACAAAATACACAGTCACTACACTTTTCAAAAACTCCTGCAAAGTGCTTTGAGGTGTCTTTCCAATGTGAATATCGCTGTATCAAGTGCAAGCATTATTTTTATTGTTGTTATTAATTCATATTACTATTTCCCTCCCTGGCCCAAGAATAGAATGTGTCCCATAGAATAGTTCATTTTAATTTCTCTCTATCCCACTATCATCCAATGAAGCACTTTAAGATGGCCTCCCCATGTGATAGACACATTATCACATTCAAGAACTATCATGATCATTATCTTCCAATGTTCTTCCCAACCAGATACTTGTCCAATTCATTTTTGAAGAAGAAGTTAATCCGCATACCTTTGTCTACTTTTGTTGGGAGTCTGCTGGCGTTTGAGGCTTTTTAATTTCTAACAGTATGGCCTCGGGTTCTGAATCATTCATTGAACTAGCATCTCACTTCGCTCAGCGATGGAAGCCATTGGCCCATTGTAGTTATGGTGGCTGCTTGAAAGAGCAATCCATTCATCAGCTCCAATTACCATCTCATCCACTGACCTTCCTCTTCGACCGCACCGTTGGTCATCTTCTCACCACTCCTAGCCCTTCATCCCTTTTCACCCCAGTCCACAGCTCAGGTGCAAACTCTTGACTATCCAGCGGCTTGGGACATCCTCCCAATGTGAAAGGCACTATATTAATGCAATTTGTTGTTGTTGCCTTCTCACCCCATATCCCTGCAAATCACACTCTTTAAATATTCATCGTGTTACTTTTTGAAAGCTAATATGGATCCTGCTTAAACCACTGCTCCAGCAAGTACATTCCACATCCTCACAACTCTCTGTGTAAAAAAAACATTCCTTCCCAAGCTTCATTAATCATACTGATATACGTTTCAGTGTGCATCAGCCTGCGAATCACTGAAAGCAAAGCTAATAACTCTCAGCTCAGCCCTCTCTGTGGAAAGTAATGCAGTAATACTTACTGTACTTGTGCAAAGCCAGAACGTGACATTATCATAAGAATTATGAAGAGAAATATCATAAAAACAGCAAGACCGACCCAGAAAGCTATTACAATGGAATCTGAAAGACAAAAAAAAACAAGGGGAGGGCATTTACACACTAAGCTTCAGTTCAAAGAGCAAGATTACATTTCATTTAGTCTGTAAAACACAATACATGGAACGTGGTGTCCTGTAGAGTAGAGATTTGCGTACTATATCAAATGCAAGGGTGATTATTATTATAAATATAATTTATATGTTTATAGCGCCTTTCACGTCGGGTAAACTAAGAACTCTGAGCTATTACCCTGTGTGAAGGATGCTGTATTGTTATTATCCAAAAGCACTTTATTTCCAGTCAAATATATTGATATTGTCTATGGATTAATAAACATTTAATAATTTTCTGAAACTTAGATTGTGCAGACATCAATTCTTCGGGCTGACCATTCTTTTCACTTCACACAATAGGAAGTTGATATTATAACTACGAGACATTAAGAGTAACAGTTTTACATAGTAATCTATTACATAACCTTGTCACATTGGAAATGCCTCAAAGTGCTTCACAAAGTTTCTCTGTCAAGTGTGATTCCATTTTTGGACAGTGAACAAAGCAGCCAATTTGTGCACAGCAATAACCTAAAACATCCATGACCGATTTTGTTTTCATATCTGGGTCCAGGACACAAGGAGAAACTCTCATCTCTGTTCGAATAATTACCATGGCATATTCAACATTCACCTGAACCAACATATGGGACCTCGGCTTAGTGTTTCATCCAAGTGAAAGCACCTCTGAAAATTTGGCACTGTTGTACAAGAGGAGGGAATTTCTCCCAGTGTCCAAGCCAATAAACTCCTAGGTTTAAAGAAAAAGCAACGCGTTTGTGAAACAAAGTGGTTAATTTAAATTCAATTAAAAGACACCACTCTCGTCATCTTTCATTCCTTTTGGAGATTAACAAAAACTGACACAAAACAAGAATCATTCTCCGTTGGGTATCATACTCTAATTCCGAATATTGTAAAGGAAGAATTTACCATTACTTGTGGATAATTGTGGCTAAGGATTTGAGTGACCCCCGAAAAATATTCTGACCTAAAATATATTCTGTGAAGCACTTTAAGACGTATTTGATAAACGTGATTATTGGCTAGGACACTGGTGGAGAAATTCCCTACATATACATATATATGTAATACAATATGTTATATAAATGCAAGTTGTTGCTGACTATGGGAGCAGTCTATTCCCTCGACTTTTAACTCCTCTTCGGACTACTTAATAATTGACGGAATAGCAAAGGGAAGGGTTGGTTTTGTGTTGCTGTGAACCAGCACAACACATTAACACAAACCACAGAGCTCTGCCTGACAAGTGCCAACTTGGACATAACAGCATTTGACTGAATGGAGCACCAAGTGACCAGAGCAGTGAAGAGAGCACTTTCCAGCACAGAAGAGAACAGATCGGATGGTTGCAAATGAATGGCACGAAACTGGAACAGGGGAAAGGCAAGGGTGAGTGATGGGGTGGTGGGTGAGTGGTGGGGTGGTGGGTGAGTGGTGGGGTGGTGGGTGAGTGGTGGGTGAGTGGTGGGTGAGTGATGGGGTGGTGGGTGAGTGGTGGGTGAGTGATGGGGTGGTGGGTGAGTGATGGGGTGGTGGGTGAGTGGTGGGTGAGTGATGGGGTGGTGGGTGAGTGGTGGGTGGTGGTTGAGTGATGGGGTGGGGTGGGTGATGGGGTGAGTGATGGGGTGAGTGATAGGGTGGGGTGAGTGATGGGGTGGGTGATGGGGTGAGTGATAGGGTGGGGTGGGGTGAGTGATGGGGTGGGTGATGGGGTGAGTGATGGGGTGGGGTGAGTGATGGGTGGGGTGGGTTATGGGGTGAGTGATGGGGTGAGTGATGGGGTGAGTGATAGGGTGGGGTGGGGTGAGTGATGGGGTGGGTGATGGGGTGAGTGATGGGGTGGGGTGATGGGGTGAGTGATGGAGTGGGTGATGGGGTGAGTGATGGGGTGGGTGATGGGGTGAGTGACAGGGTGGGGTGGGGTGAGTGATGGGGTGGGTGATGGGGTGAGTGATGGGGTGGGGTGATGGGGTGAGTGATGGAGTGGGTGATGGGGTGAGTGATGGGATGGGTGATGGGGTGAGTGATAGGGTGGGTGATGGGGTGAGTGATGGGGTGAGTGATGGGGTGGGTGATGGAGTGAGTGATGGGGTGAGTGATGGGGTGGGTGATGGGGTGGGTGATGGGGTGAGTGATGGAGTGGGTGATGGGGTGAGTGATGGGGTGGGTGATGGGGTGAGTGACAGGGTGGGGTGGGGTGAGTGATGGGGTGGGTGATGGGGTGAGTGATGGGGTGAGTGATGGGGTGGGTGAGTGATGGGGTGGGTGAGTGATGGAGTGGGTGATGGGGTGAGTGATGGGGTGGGTGATGGGGTGAGTGATAGGGTGGGTGATGGGGTGAGTGATGGGGTGGGTGATGGGGTGGGTGATGGGGTGAGTGATGGGGTGAGTGATGGGGTGAGTGATGGGTGGATGATGGGGTGGGTGATGGGGTGAGTGATGGGGTGGGTGATGGGGTGGGGTGATGGGGTGAGTGATGGGGTGAGTGATGGGGTGGGTGATGGGGTGGGTGATGGGGTGAGTGATGGGGTGGGTGATGGGGTGGGGTGATGGGGTGAGTGATGGGGTGAGTGATGGGGTGGGTGATGGGGTGAGTGATGGGGTGGGTGATGGGGTGGGTGATGGGGTGGGTGATGGGGTGGGGTGATGGGGTGAGTGATGGGGTGGGTGATGGGGTGAGTGATGGGGTGGGTGATGGGGTGAGTGATGGGGTGGGTGATGGGGTGGGGTGATGGGGTGAGTGATGGGGTGAGTGATGGGGTGGATGATGGGGTGGATGATGGGGTGGGTGATGGGGTGGGGTGATGGGGTGAGTGATGGGGTGAGTGATGGGGTGGATGATGGAGTGAGTGATGGGGTGGGGTGATGGGGTGAGTGATGGGGTGAGTGATGGGGTGGGTGATGGGGTGAGTGATGGGGTGAGTGATGGGGTGGGTGATGGGGTGGGTGATGGGGTGAGTGATGGGGTGGGTGATGGGGTGGGTGATGGGGTGGGTGATGGGGTGAGTGATGGGGTGAGTGATGGGGTGGGTGATGGGGTGAGTGATGGGGTGAGTGATGGGGTGGGTGATGGGGTGAGTGATGGGGTGGGTGATGGGGTGGGTGATGGTGTGAGTGATGGGGTGAGTGATGGGGTGGGTGATGGGGTGGGTGATGGTGTGAGTGATGGGGTGAGTGATGGGGTGGGTGATGGGGTGGGTGATGGGGTGGGTGATGGTGTGAGTGATGGGGTGAGTGATGGGGTGAGTGATGGGGTGAGTGATGGGGTGAGCGATGGTGTGGGAAACACTTACATTTGTTCACTTGGAGCCCCTCGAACGACACATCGTATTCGTACTCGTAGTATTCGTACTCGAAGCGGTACTCGGAATTGCTGTGGTTCAGGCGCAGGTCTTCCGAAGAGTTGGTGAAAGCCTCGACATCAGCCATCTCTCCATCGAGGTCCCCAGGAGAGGGGGAGAGAGGAGAGAGGGAGGGAGAGGAGAGAGGAGGAGAGGAGAGGAGAGGAGAGGAAGGGGAGGGGAGGGGAGGGGAGGCTGCAGAGTTTGCAGAGGACGATTGCTGATGGGGACCAAACGAGAGCAGTGCGAGTGATCTCCTGGTTAGTCCTCTTGACAAATCCGGAACAACCTCAAATCAGTGTGTAATATGATTCCCACCCCCTCCCCTCCCCTCCCCTCCCCTCCTTCCCTCCCCTCCTTCCACTCCCAGAATTTGGGTTTCCTTTAGGATTTGCAGAGAGAACTCCCTCTGCTGGGAAACTTGTCCACTGGTATTGCTCTTAACCGGCTGAGCAAAAAACAAGACCTTCCTTATAACAATAATGATGATAATAATGATCCTTGCGTTTTGATATAGCGCTTTTTACGTCTCCTCGACGTCTCGAAGCGCTTCGCAGAATGGGCTGTAAAGTGAATTGACCGTATATTTGTGGGCGAAACGCGGCAGCCAATTGCGCACAGCGGTGTCCCACGAACAGTCGCGGATTGAAAGTGACCAATTTATTATTGTTTTGTTTTCTTGGAGGGATTATTATTAGGCGTGTGGAGTAAGGAAACTTGCCCAAGGTTTCGCCCTCCGCCTGGAATTGAACTCGGGTCTCTCGCTTGCAAGGCGAGTGCTCTTACCACTGAGCTACAGGTCGCCACGTGTTAAGCTTCCTTGAAAATCTACTTTATGGGGATAAGGTGGGGCCGTGGGATTGAATTGATCTCCTCGTTCCAACTCGACCGGCTGAGTGGCTTTCTTCTGCGCTGCAGGTGAATCCTCGCGCTTGATTATCGTTGACGTTGAAACAGCTCAAAGCTCTTCGCAGGGCATACCGTCACGTAGATTGACTGTATTTTTTTGGGGGGGGCGAAACACAGAGGCCAGTTGCGCTCAGCGGTGTCCCACAAACAGCCGTGGAGTGAGTGACCAATTTTATTTGGGAGTTTCCCCCAATGTCCTGGCCAACAATCCCCCAAATAAAAGTGACCATTCACTTCATTGCTGCTCATGAGACCTTGCCTCGAGCAAATTGGCTGCTGTGTTTGCTTACAAATATGTAATCACTACAATTTACAGTCAAATTGCTGTGAGACGTTTGCATGATATAAATGATGTGATTTTACTATTTCAAATGCAAGGATTATTATTATGGAAAATCACCAACAATTTCAAGATCAGGAGAACACTGTATGGGATGGTGTACAAGTGAGTAGTCAGTGGAGCGATAATGGAGAAGTTAACCAACCGCATAATAGGGTCAACAGTTGGTCTTGGAAGTGTTTCTTTTCATCTTGAATAGACACAAACTCTACCAGTCCATCAATGATCAGTGGCTTGACTGCTGGGTAGTCCTGGAACTCAGCTCTACAAAGGTCATAAAATAGGCACTCCACAGTCTGTACCGTTGAGCTGTGTTATCAAGAATGTTTTGAGCCTATTTTGGAAACAATTGATTTTCTTTAAAAAGTTGCTACTGTGAAAGACATTTGAGCTTCAAGGGTTAAAGAAACATAATGTGTTATTACTATGCTGGAAATTTGTTAAAATAAATATTGCAGCTGGAGTATTCTCTGGAGTGGCCCCTTCATCTCCCGCACATATACCCCTGGGTAATTCTTATATTCTCATGTCATGTGAAACAGCAGTAATGCAGTCAACAGCTGACTGCCATTCTGTAGATTCTGAATAAACCTGTATTCCAGAATTGCTCAAAACATGCCAAAAAGTATGTTTTTTTTTCTAACTTGTCTGGGGTCTAATCTTATTTACTCAACGACAGCAGTCAGCTTTTAAATTTTTACTCCCTTGTTGTCTTTCCTCCCCTTGTTGTGATGTGAAAATTCAACTAAGTTCATCACTCCCAAAGAAAAATTCGAATGATTGGTAAGTTGATTTACTTTTGCGGAATGTGACTGTGCAGATTGGCTGCTGCTTTTGCTCAACCAATTATAAATTCGAGGTTATTACTTATCTCATTTTTTGTGTTATTAATTCATGTACAGGACTATGGAGTCCTGTAGCTCAGCGGTTAGAGCACTCGCTTTGCAAGCGAGAGACCTGAGTTCAATTCCAGTCGGGGCGAAACCTTGGGCAAGTTTCCTTACTCCATACGCCTAATAATAATTCCTCCAAAACAAAACAATAATAAATTGGTCATTTTCAATCCACAACTGTTTGTGGGACATTGCAATTGGCTGCCGCGTTTCGCCCACAAATATACGGTCAATTCACTTTACAGTCTATTCTGTGAAGCGCTTTGAGACATCGAGAAGACGTGAAAAGCGCTATATCAAATGCAAGGATTATTATTATTATATGATTATGCACCATCTGCTTGTGTTCAGGTAAACATACGGAAACAATGCTCGTTTCAAAAAAGCTTGGTGTCTTTCTCTCCATTAGCCGGGTTTATATTGATAATAATCGTTGCATTTGATTTACCACTGTATCACACTATTCAAACCTCTGAAAGCCCCTCACGTGATTTACTGTAAAGTGTAGTGACTGCGTATTTTGTCGTCAAAACGCGGCAACCGCTTTGCGCACAGCAATGTCCCACAAACGGCCATGTGGAGTCCTGTAGCTCAGTGGTTAGAGCACTCGCTTTGCAAGTGAGAGACCTGAGTTCAATTCCAGGCAGAGGGCGAAACCTTGGGCAAGTTTCCTTACTCCACACAGAGCCTAATAATAATCCCTCCAAAACCAAAAACAATAATAAATTGGTCATTTTCAATCTACGACTGTTTGTGGGACATTGCTGTGCGCAATTGGCTGCCGCGTTCGCCCACAAATATACAGTCGATTCACGGAGGTGGGGGTTTGCATTGTCGGAGGTGCCGGCCTTCAGGTCAGACGTTACACTGAGGTTCAAGCGGACGTTAAGGATCCCACGGCACTACTCGAGGCGAGACGGGGATCGATTGCCCCCGAGGTCCCGGCCAACCATCCCACAGGTGCGATTGGGCACTCTCTCCGTGTGGGACGTGGCTGCCGCCGTTTCGCACCACAACACACACCGTCACGGCCCTTCACAGTAAAAATCCTGTGAAATGCAAATGCAGGGATTATTATTATTAATACTGTAATTATTGCTGCTTTTGCTGTGTATGAGCACCTGCAGCTCCTGTGCGCATGCTCGGTGGCTGGAGCCTCAGTCAGTGAGCGAGGGAGGGAGGGAGGGAGGGAGTGCGCATGCTCGGTTGTCAGTGCGTGAGTGAGGGAGTGCGCATGCTCGGTTGTCAGGGAGCGAGTGAGTGCGCATGCTCGGTTGTCAGGGAGCGAGTGAGTGCGCATGCTCGGTTGTCAGGGAGCGAGTGCGCATGCTCGGTTGTCAGGGAGCGAGCGGGCGCGGGAGCGAGTGCGCATGCTCGGGGCCGTGAGCTTTGAAAGATGGCGGGAAGGACCGTGGATTTGACCAGTCTCACGGATGAGGACGAGCTGGAGCCGAGCTCCGCCTCCGCCACCTTCACCTTCACCGACTGCGGCGGCGAGTTGCCCATCGTGTTCCTGTGCGCGCAGTGCCGGCTCCCGGCGGGAGACTCCCTGGCCTGGAGCGGCTGGGATTCCGCAGAGAGGGTGATTTGCCTGAAAAGTCAGTACCTTCGGTCACTTAAAAGACTGAGAGCCGCGGCTGAGGTTTCATTGTGGCACAAAACATCGCCGCGTGAAAACATCGCCGCCGGTGTGTAACTGTATGTACACAGTGTGTAACTGTATGTACACAGTGTGTAACTGTATGTACACAGTGTGTAACTGTATGTACACAGTGTGTAACTATATACACAGTGTGTAACTATATACACAGTGTGTAACTGTATGTACACAGTGTGTAACTGTATGTACACAGTGTGTAACTGTATATACACAGCGTGTAACTGTATGTACACAGTGTGTAACTATATACACAGTGTGTAACTGTATGTACAGTGTGTAACTGTATATACAGTGTGTAACTGTATATACACAGTGTGTAACTATATACACAGTGTGTAACTGTACATACACAGTGTGTAACTATATACACAGTGTAAATATATATACACAGTGTGTAACTATATAAACAGTGTAACTATATATACACTGTGTAACTATATACAGTATAAATATATACACAGTGTGTAACTATATACACAGTGTGGAACTATATCTACAGTGTAAATATATATACATGATGTGTAATTGTATATGTATACAACATGTAACTATATATACAGTAAATATATATACAGTGTAAATATATATACACGGTGTTTAACTGATATACACACAATGTGTAACTATATATACAGTGTAAATATATATACATGGTGTGTAACTATATACACAGTGTGGAACTATATCTACAGTGTAAATATATATACATGATGTGTAATTGTATATGTATACAGCATGTAACTATATATACAGTAAATATGTATACAGTGTAAATATATATACACGGTGTTTAACTGATATACACACAATGTGTAACTATATATAGTGTAAATATATATACACGGAGTGTAACTATCTATATACACAATGTGTAACTATATATACAGTGTGTAACTATATATATACATACACAGTGTAACTATATATGTACACAGTGTGTAACTATATATAGTGTAAATATATATACATGGTGTGTAACTATACACACAGTGTGTAACTATATATATATACATACACAGTGTAACTATATATGTACACAGTGTGTAACTATATACAGTGTAAATATATATATATACATGGTGTGTAACTATATATACAGTGTAAATATATATACAGTGTGAAACTATATATAAATAGTGTGTAACTGAATATATCGAGATCATGCAAATGGGTTTGAATGAAGTGAAAAATCTTTATTTTACGAATGTGCTTGAAACCAAAAAAAGTTAATAAGCATGGAATAAGGAAAAAGGCACCCTATTCTCATTCCTTTGGGTGCATTTGACCGGCAGAGCAGACCAGATTTTCCCAGGAGGATGGCTGGCAATGCCCTTTATTGTGTTTCATGGCTATTATTCAAATCGTGAAATTTATGAACAAGTAACTGCTATATTTTTATAGACATCACACAAAATGTCATAGTGGACACTGAGAGGAAGGTAGACACGTCATCTGACTCTGGTTGGTGAGTATACACTAATAATAGTAATAGGAATAAGAATCCTTGCCTTTGGTATTGGGCCTTTCTCATTGGGAGGACATCTCAAAGCACTTCTGCACAGCATATGCTGTAACGTGTAATTGACAGTGCATTTTGTAAGCAAACGCAGCAGCCATTTTGAACACAAGAATGTCCCACAAACAGCCATGAGGTGATAATGACCCATTTTGTTTGTTTTTGTTTTCCCAGGGATGTTTATTGCTTGGTCAATCGTTTTCCCTATCCTCTGCCCCTCGCCCCCTCCCCAAACGTGCCCCACAATATTCCAGTGGATGAAGGCAGTCTCATACCTAATTACCTTTCAACCCCATCTTTCTAAGGTAGAATGTAATGTAATTAATGAGACACGATCTGGTTAGCCTGGAGAGGGAATCGTCAGCTAAAACACTGCCTCTTGTGGGAAGAAATTAACCCAATTCATTTGAAGTGTAACTTAGCAATGGAAGATCACTTTGCTCCCACAGAAAAGTCTCTTCAGGGTTAGGCAGAAACTATCTGAAACTATTGGGAGTGAGCGATTGCACCAATGCATCACCAACCTTACCATGATTGAAATGGTGTTTTACAAGCACAATGCTACATCCGGCTCTGCAGTTTCAAACTTAAGCCTGTGCAAATTATTGTGGAGTCCTGTAGCTCAGTGGTTAGAGCACTCGCTTTGCAAGCGAGAGACCTGAGTTCAATTCCAGGCAGGGCGAAACCTTGGGCAAGTTTCCTTACTCCACACAGAGCCTAATAATAATCCCTCCAAAATAAAACAATAATAAATTGGTCATTTTCAATCTACGACTGTTTGTGGGACATTGCTGTGCGCAATTGGCTGCCGCGTTCGCCCACAAATATACAGTCAATTCACTTTACAGTCTATTCTGTAAAGCGCTTTGGGACGTCCTCCCGACGTGAAAAGCGCTATATCAAATGCAAGGATTATTATTATTATTATTATTAAATGTTTCTAGTGCTACTAATGTTTCTCCCCTTCTCTCTCCCGCCAGTATCTATGTGTTGTTAACATGTTCTGGCTGTGCTATGATACTGGGTAAAAAGTATGTCTGCACACCGATCCACCTTGATTTCAGAAGGAATTTGTATTGCTTATATGTACAGCACATTACCAGGTAAGTAATAAGCAAAAAAAAATCAGATCTTAGTTACCCTGTAACAATAAAACATAGTTATGTGTCCAATGTAAAATTTATATCATCCCAGGTAAACTCAAATCAGTTGGGCATTAAACTTGGGACCAGTCTGGGTTTGAATACTTTCATTGATTAAAATGAGACTGAAAAACTATTCAGAGGACAGAGGTGGGAAGGTAAGCGGGGGCTGCTGCCATTGAAGTGGCTCTGAGGAGGCACGACTGGTAAACGCTGGCAGATCCGCAGTAATCCAACAACAACAACAAATTATATTTGCACAGCGCCGTGCACGTCAGGAGGACATCCCAAGGCGTTGGACAGTCAGGGATTTGGACTCGAGCTGGGGCTTGGTATCAGGGTGGAGGGCAGAGGTAGGAGGGTGTCCAAAGGCGCGGTCGAAGAGGAGGGTCTTGAGACTGGCCTTGATGGAGGCAAGGGAGGGAGTGAGGCAAAGAGACTGGGATGGAGTTCCAAAGGGTGGGGGCTTAAAGGCTGAAGGCCCAATCACTGATGGAGGGGTGGGCAGAGCAGGGGACGTAGAGCAGGTTGGAGCTATATCCCAGGAGGATGCCGTTTAATCCATTGTATTACTGTGAGAGCCATGAGGCTTACCAGTGCTTTGTATTTGGAAGCTACCTGGTTTAAATTAAGCTGTCTCAGATCAAACCCAAATCCAGGTGTATAGAAAAACTTGGCAGATCACTTTGGTAATGTGGTAAGGTATTAATATTTTGCCGGTTGAAGGAGCTCTCAGCCCACAAATATTGCAGTTAAATTTTGTCATTTTTAAGCTGCGCGTTTTCACTTCAGTGACATTCTCAAATGTAGAGAACGAGCTATCGAAAGAAAGTGGTAGACGTTGTAAGATGTACTTTCAAAGTGTTGTCCTATGTAAATCTATGTAGTGATCCAGCGCCATTTAATAAAATAGTCACGTAAACGGGATTAGACTGTAAATGACATCTTGACAATATTCTACCTGTTTTGCCAAATGTAAATTATGGTCTTTGTTTCCCCACCCTCCTTTTTAAAGTTATACATTTGGCTCCACTGGAAATAATGAGAGGTTAGAAGAGATACGCGAACCCATTACTTTTGAAACTCGGACTACCATCCTTGAAGAACTAGCAAAGGTAAATGGTTTGGGTGCATGCTATTTTAATACAACTTCAAGTAAAGGAGTCATTTGAAGATTATTCTGGGATTCTCTGTATTTTTGCTTTTGTCAAACAACTGGTTCACGTTCCAGTTGAAGTATAAAACTCGTGATGGGTATTTTCCTTTGAAGCTGAAGACTGGAATGGAATGCACTGCCTGAAAGGGTGGTGGGAACAGATTCAATCACAACTTTCAAAAAGGAATTAAATAGGTACTTCAAAAGGAAAAAAATTGCAGGGATATGGGGAAAGAGCAGGGGAGTGGAACTGATTGGGTGGCTCTTCCAAAGAGCGGGCACAGACACAATGGGCCGAATGGCCTTCTTCTGTGCTGTAATATTCTACGCTTCTATGAATTTACTGGAAAGCTAATCGTGAATAAACTGCAGATTTTCTTAAATTGACTTTAGACATACATTTCTTTTGGCAGAACGCATTTCTGAAATATGAACCTCGTAAAATGTGGTCAGAAAATCTTTTATAATAGTAATGAACCTTGCGTTTGGTATAGCACCTTTCATATTAATAATAATATAATAATCCTTGTATTTGATATAGCGCTTTTCACGTCTTCTAGACGTCTCAAAGTGCTTCGCAGAATTTACTGTAAAGTGAATTGACTGTATATAGTGTCGTGACTGTGTTTTTGTGGGCGAACCGGGCAGCCAATTGTATACAGTAATGATCCACCCACTGCCTTTAACTGAATGACCAATTTTATTTGGGGGATTGTTGTCCAGGACACCCGAGAACCTTCCTTCTCTTTCAAATAGTGCTATGGGAACAGGCAGTTATCTGAAGGATGGCATCCTCCAATTGCATTGGAGTGTCATCTTTGACCGTGTGATTCCAAGACATGATGTGAGGCTCGAACCCACATGCTTCTGACTCAGAGGCGAGAGTGCTACCCACTGAGCCAGGTTGACACACATATTGTTATGACTGAACCACAAAATGTTTCTTTACTACAGTTAAGGGGTGTGCAACATCATTGGAGGCGACGTCATTCGGATGAGATGTTAAACCGAGGCCCTGTCTGCATGTTCAGACGGACGTTAAAGATCCTATGGGACTAGTCGAAAAGAGAAAAGAGTTTTTCCTCATGTACTGGGCAACAATCCCCTCCTTTCCCCTGACTCCCTCCAAAATTTGGTCATTCACTTCATTGCTGTTTGCGGGACATTGCTGTGCTCAAATTGGCTTCAAAACACAGTTACTACTTTTTACGTCATAATCCTGTAAAGAGTTTTGAAACCTCCTGACAATTGTGGTGTCCTGTAGCTGAGTGGTTAGAGCACTCGCCTCACAAGCAAGAGACCGGGGTTTGATTCCCGGCAGGGTGAAACATTGGGCAAGTTTCCTGACTCCACACGCCTGATAATAATCCCTCCAGCAAAAAAACAATAATAAAACAATCCACGACTGTTTGTGGGACACTGCTGTACGCAATTTGCCTGCCATGTTTCGCCCACAGTCAATTCACTTTACAGTATATTCTGTGAAGCCCCTCGAGACGTCTCGAAGATGTGAAACGTGTTATATCAAATGCAAGGGTTATTATAATGAAAGTTGCTAAACGCAAGTTTCAGTATTCATAGATATGTAAAAATGTCTGCTGTCTGTTTTATGCTGCATTCCATATACCCATATACCGGTTCTCACAAATAAGCCTTATTGTACCTTTTCTTTTCCAAAAGTCCCAAACTGTGCTCAATATGATGATTGAGAGGCTGGCTATTGTGGAAGAAAAGCTAGTGTCTTTGCAGAATGAGGGCTAACACAGTTCCTGCTCAATGAAAAAAGGTCGGGATTTGAAGAAGTGACGGATGCCTGGACTTCACCAATAATTTGTTCGTTGAATTGTTCGTTGACAACCAACTTAATCCTTTGGGTCGAGTTCTTTTTCTCTCTCTCTATCTCTCCCTCATTCTCCCGCACTTTCCTAATGCTGCTGGGATGATCCAATGACACACAGTTTGCTGAACTAACAAACTGATGCCACATCCATGAACTGTGTTGTGATTTGTGTCAGCTTGTTGAACTCACTTTTTATCTGCAAGTCCATTTCTGTTGAAAGCTCTGCAGTTAAGTAAAACTACTGTACATCCTAAGCTACTTCTATATCTTGTGCTGTAGTTGATCTAACTTGACTGTTCTATCAAAGCTTAAGACTGATGAGCGTCAACCATTTCAACTTCCTGTATTATGTCTGTAATTAATCTAGATTTAATGTAAAAAAAATAAAATTGTACATTTTTTTTTTCTCTTTTCTGTAGTCGTACACGTGGTTTTGCTGTCAGTGCTGGAAGTAAAGAAGCGTCTAGTGGGGGGTGGAGGGGGATGGCTTCAACAGAGCGTTGATATTACTTAGTGCTCTGTGATGTATTACGGTTCCTGAGCCAAGTGCCTCAACAGAACTCCAAGGCACTGCTGATGTCAGACCAGCCAGCCTGGCTAGTTGGCAAGACTTGGAGGGGCAGACCAGTCACAAGTCGCATTTTTCTCACTCGCTTCTTTTCAACCCTGCAACCAAAGCTCTAACAGCTGAGTGGTTGTAGCTGGACATGCAGTGGGAGCCTTGCTCTAGATGGGAAGCTTGCCCAGACACTGGTCTCGATGGCAAACTGTGTGGTTTCAGCTGATTAAACTCTAGCGACAAAACGTCCTGAGTCAAAGAAAACACGTAACATCCTTCCTTGCGTCACGGCACTAGCTTAATCGAGCTTTGTGGTTTAGTACGGATACTGTTTAAGATCTCACAGAGTAAACAAGAAGTGCTTCAGTGTGTTAAGTGTGCTTCAGTCGCTAAGAATGACACGAAAGTAATTAAAATTTACAGTACTTGAAGCACACATCCTCTGCCTCTCTCTGTTCAGTTTCCCTTTGTGCCCATGTTATTATGCGGATATCACAGAGCCAGTCAGTGGTGGCCCAGCCTCCTTTCAGGCAGAATTGTTTTCATTTTGGGTGATCCTAATCTAAAGGAGGAGGCTGAATAGTAATGATTGTGCATAGATCGTCTTTGACTAGGACTATACAGTCAAATTTGAAGTAAAGTACTTGTATGTACTGCAAAGACTTTTGGATTGCCCTCTTGCTCTTAAGTTTTCACATAAGGCATTTAAAAAAAAATACAACTTTGTGCTCTTGTTAGAAAGAAAATTAACTTGCATTTTTGCAGTTCTGCTTTATCACATGTTCACTGCTCAATTGATTTTCAGACAATTTAGTACTGTCATGTAGTTTTTGTAGGCATTCAGCAGAGTGAAAAAAAGGGCTACATTTTAAAAGAAAACAAGGCTAATATTTACACAGCAGGTGTGTTAATAATAATAATAATCCTTGCATTTGATATAACTCCTTATTACATCTTCGAGACTTCTCAAAGCGCGTCACGTGATTTACTGTAAATTTTGTGGGTGAAACACAGCAGCTCATTACGCACGGTAAAGGAATTGGTCATATTCTTTAACAATAATCATCCTTGCATCAGGAGGATGTCTCAAAGCGCTTCACATGATTTACTGTAAAGTGTAGTGACTGTATATTGTAGTGCTTATGTTGGAAGGACACTTCAAAGCAGCTGATTGGGCACCTGAACTAAGGGGGGGAGAGCTGAGGAGTGTGGTGGGTGGCAGTGGTACTTAAAGTGCGGGGGAACGATTCGAAATGTGTTTGAAAAGTTTTAATCCTTTTATGACATTTCACATGCTGAATTGGTGATCTCATGAGGTTACACTGGCAGCCATGAATAATAACATTGGCATGAAATCCAACCTGAAATTAATCCTTTTTTCTCAAGGGTTTTCGTTCCATTCTGGCACTGATCTGAAAGGCACTAAATTACCATCAATGTTTTAAAAGTCGGATCTCAACCAATTTCAAAAATCTGAGCTGATTTCCAAAGAATGCTATTTGTCTTGCAGCCGTTTTGGCTGTGGATTCTGATCCCGCCTGGGTTTTTCTGAGTAAGTAATCGAAAATATTTGTTTTAGGGTGGCTGAATATATTTCTATAGCATATAAAACAGTTTACATTTTGCTGAGAATGCTGCTTTAATGTATGATACCAACCAAGTACAGAATGTTGATCCTTCCCATCCCAACTTTCCCCATTTGTTATACTGTTGCATTGGTTAGTTTTCCGTTGAACTAAATGTGTTATTTATTTTCAAACAGGACAAGAATATAAACAACTGTATAATCAGCAACAACCTTGCATTTATATCATGCAGGATACATGAGAGTCTCAGAGTGCTGAATTGATTCACTGAACTTGATACGAGAGAAGGATATACTGTAAAGTGGCATGACTGTTCATTTTGAGGAAGAATCTGGTAGCCAATTTACGCACAGCAATGCCCCACAGACAGCCATGGAGCGAGTGACCTATTTTATTTGAGTGATTCTCGGTCAGGATCACACAGACAATGCAACTACTCTCCAGTTTTTAAGACATTTTCTAATGACTGGTAGAGTTTAGCTTAGCTTTACCCTTTGTATCAGTAACAGAACTGAAAACTCCCTTCTCCCCACCCACCTCCCCACATACACACACGCAGACAAACACACACAACACAAATACAACTCTTTGGTACAAAAATTTACGTCCTGTTCTGACGAAGGGTCGTGGACCCGAAACGTTTACTCACTTTTCTTTCTCCATAGATGCTGCCTGACCTGCTGAGTATTCCCAGCAACTTCTGTTGTTACAATTCTTTGCTTCGGTTCCTAATTGAAATTGTGAAATAAATTTCCTAAAGTATTATGTTAGGAGTGCAGAGTCAGGTTTTCATGATGAATCGGAGAATAACAATAATAATAATCCTCCCATTTGATATAGCTGAATATTGCTTTTGACAATAACACCTTCAACTCTGTTTCACTGCAACATGCTTGCAGCTGCAGGAGCTCTCTTCTCTGGTTTTAACACTGACTGATGAACAAACTATCACCTGAAAAGTACATTCTGGCTTCAATTAACCTGTAGTTGGATATCATCAATCTCTTCCTGCATATCCTCCACATCCTTGAATGGCTTAATAAAGGGTAATAACCATGGACATTTAGAGAGATATTGTGAAGCCCAGCAATGTAATGTATTGATGAAGTATGTACAGTTTGATTTGAGGTAGCACCTTATCACAATGTTAGATGTCTCAAAGCCCTTAACAGAATGCACTGTAAAGTAAATTGCCTGTATATTTTGTAGGCGAACCACGCAGGCAATTGCATACAGCAGTGTTCCACAAACAGTTGTAGATTAAGTGACCACATTTTTTTNAATTAAATTTTATTTTTGAAGGGTTTATTACCCCCAGGAAAAGCAATCTGCTAATCAACTTACAACCGGGTTCCTACTTAATGCTAGGTAAACAGACGTGTGGAGTAAGGAAACTTGCCTAATGTTTCGCCCGACCCTGAAATCGAACCTGGGACCTCTTGCTTGTGATAAACCACCTGATCTCACCAAAATTTGACGCCTAGTTTCAGTCAACCTCAGAGGGGAAAGACCCACTGAAGTCTTATGTCTGGATCTTCAGATCGCAGGGTGAGACCTTAAACAAGTTCTAAAGAAGAAGATTGCGAAGGTAAGAATGGCTCAACACTGAGAAAGGCGGAGGGTGAGGGGGCTGTGTCTCAGTGTTTCCCATAACTCCCCTGAAAATGCTGATGTGCTGAGTGTCACGTGCGCTTTGAGGTACGTTGCCCAAGTAGCTGGTTCTTCTTCGCGCGTGAGCCATTTGTGGGACCTTTGCTCTGCGCACGTTCAGCCACAAAATACTTTGTGACTCCAATTTACAGGACATCCCGTGAAGGGGTTTTGAGACGGCCTTTCGACAGGAGAAGCCACAATACCGAATGGAATGAAGAGATATTATTTGGGGTTTGTGAGGGCAGGTTAAGAAGGAGCCAATATGTCTAAAGTGGGGGGGGTGTCTGGAGGGAGGCTATAGAGGTCTGCGGGAGGCTTTGGGGTGTGATGACGGAGGTTTGAAATGGTCTGTGTCGGTGCGGGAGGAGGTGGGTTGTTGCGTGACACAAGGAGGGTTGCTGCTGCTGTTGGTTTGAAGGACGGAGTGGGTTTACAAGATTCGATTAACATGTATTTGTGCAGTTATGGGTTTGGTCCACTGGAGGGTATCAAATGCTGTTACCACTTACATTTTACCCAGTGCCTTTCACAGCGGATACGCACCTGAGCTGGGTTGGGAGCCAAGCAGGGGTTCGGAAGGGGAAAGCGTTTCGTCCACAAAATGTATAGTCAATTGACTTTACAATATATTTTGTGAAGGGATTTGAGACGCCTTAACCACGTGACAAACAACAACAACAACAAGATTACATTTGTATAGCGCCTTTCACGTCGGGAGGACGTCCCAAGGCGCTGACAGTGTACAGCATTTCAGACCCGAACTGGGGTCAGGGGGGGGAGAAGGGAGGAGAGGGGAAGGGGTCGAAGAGGAGGATCTTGAGGTGGGACTTGAAGGAGGCTAAGGAGGGAGCGAGGTGGAGTGATTGGGGAATGGAATTCCAGAGGTTGGGGGCAGAGTGGCTGAAGGCTCTCCCGCCAATGGTGGGGTGGGTGGGTCGGGGGACATGGAGCTGGACAGAGCCGACTGAGTGGAGGGATCGGGCGGGTTGGTAGGGGGTTAGGAGGTCGCAGAGGTAGAGTGGGGTGAGGCCATGGAGGGCTTCGTAAGGATTACTATTATTCTGATTACACGACCGAAAGCATGGTAGAAAATTTACATTTTGAGACGTGGTTTAAAAGAGGGGAGAGAGAGAGGGAGGGTGGGGGTGGGGGGAGAGAGAGAGCGATTTTGGGACGGAGTTGCAGAGAGCAGGGGGAGGAAAAGCTGAAAGCCTGCTCACTGATGGTGGGCCAGACAGGGCAGGAGTACATGAAGCAGTTCGGTTCTCGCTGAACGAAGGACATCCTCAGGATTGCAATGGAGTCTCAGCATCAGACGGGGAGAATGGAAGGATAGGGACCCGTTGACAGAAAATAAAATAACCTTAAAGTAATTGACTGAGAAGAGGCAAGCGGAATTTAAATATGCAGGGAAGAGAAGTGAGTGTAAATGGGGAAAAAAAGAGGTGTAATGAAAAATAACACGAAGACAGTATTGCAACACACAGAGGATGGGGAACAACATGGGAAAACTGGAGACAGTCATCAAAACTGAGGCATTGGATGCAACTGACAGAAACATGGTAACAATCTGGACATGACTGGCAATTAAATATTGTAGAA